CCTGCGCAGAGTGGACTTCAGTCCGTCAACCACAAGCAGTTGCCATACATTTGGGGGCGGAAGATGGCAATGTCCGAGGCAACTCTGATTCTCTCCGGCCAGTCGTTGTGCCTCATGTCGCGGGTGTACATGTACGTAGACACGCGGCTGCCGCACCTACGGCGGGTGGTGGTGGCGCGACCGGAGCCGGGTACCTCCCGAAACGGCCAGGGGGGAGTGGTGGACAGCACCATAAAGAAGTATTGCAAGCGACCGCAAGGCGTGCAGCGGGCCGCAAATATGCCGGACAACGTCAACGCAGAGGTAGACTTCGACGACATGACGTACGAAGAGTACTGTCTGGAATGGGACATGGTCCCATCAGACGGCAGCAGGGAGCCACCGTCAACCTTGCCCTACTACTTCAACGGCCAGAACGCCGCCTACTGGCGAAGGAGCTCCGAGGTGAGGATCCTCGGGTTTGTCATCTACCGCCCGGATCGGCAACCATTTGAGCAATTCTACTACCACCACCTCATCCTTTCCAGACCTTTCCGAAGCCTCGGCGAATTCATCTCCGATGAAAACGACGAGGGGACGTACGAGCGACAGTGCCAATTGGAGGGGGTGTTCGGCGATGAGGAGTCCACCACAAACATTTTGGCGGCTGTGGACAAGGACCTACGCAGGCAAAAGGTGAATTTCTCTATTTCATCGTCAAACTGCCCTTTGCCTCCGTACTGGTTTCTGTAGTGCTTGCTGCGTGCGATTTCCTGTTTTCGTCCCCATCCTTAACCATTTCAAATCTTCCATTCCAACGTGTAGGTTGGCGACGACCGGCGAGCCGCCACCACGCAAGAGGTTGAGGACTTCCTGTACATCAGATCCATGGATGTCGTGCTGTCGCAACCCGACCCGGACCTGCTCGATGGGGAGGCGCCAGCACCTGCGACCCACCAACAGGTTGCGGAGTGGCTGGGCCAAGATCCGGAGGCCCTGTCTGGAACTTTCACGCCTCCAGAATTTGCGCTTCTCGCTCCATCGCAGAAAGAGTTCGCCGCCGTCGTCCTCTCCAGTGAGCCTAACTTGTACTACCTGAGTGGGCGAGCTGGGTTCGGAAAGTCTCACGTCGCGCGCTTCCTCGTTGATGCCTTCCGGTCCATGGGACAGTGCGTGGCAGTCACCGGCACCACTGCCACAGCAGCGGGCAACATCGGGGGCGTGACGTTGCACCGCTTCTGCAGCTGTCCAAAGGGTTCGAGTCCGGCCTTGATCCATCCAACCCGCTATGGCCCGCGCTAAAGGAGAATAACGTCGTCATCATCGACGAGATCTCCATGGCCACGGCTCACCTACTCGCCGCCACGGATCATGTACTTAGGAGAGCGGCACTACCGCACAAACGACGCGCCCCGTTCGGAGGAAGGACCATCATCGCCATTGGGGACCTTTGCCAACTGCCACCAGTGCCCCCCCGGCTGTTCGGGGTGGTGTACAACAACTGTGCCGTGTATGTCTTGGGGCTTTGGTCGAAATTCAAGATGCACGAGCTGAGAGAAAACTTTCGCCAGCAGGATGACCCCGAGTTCCAGATTTGCCTGGACGAGCTACATGACGGCGTGCTGGACGGCGAAGCCTGGGGTGTCCTCCTCTCCCGTGTTGTGGGACTCGACGGCAATCAAGGGCTCGAGCACACGACGCACGACTCCCTAATCAACGCCTCTCAAGCGACGCCGTGCATTGCCCCGTACAAGAGAAGCTCTCCTGACCAAGGCGACACTGTACCCCAGTGCCACGAGATTAACGAGGACCACCTCAGAGCCCTGGGAGACAACGGGGAGGAATGCCGCTTCGTGCATGCCCAGGCCTTCGTCAAACAGAACGGCACGAAACTCAAACGCGACAAGGGACGCCACCCTATCGTCCTCGAGTACGCTGACTTGCCCGACACCCTCGTCCTCCACGAGGGACTCAAGGTGAGATTCATGGAGTATTCGACCTGCTTGGTTGGTGGCAAAGTTGGACACTACCACGTTGCAAGTTACTCCCTGCACGAAAATTTAGCCTCTTGCCTAGGACGAATGACAAACACCGAACATTCCCGCCCTCGACATGACTTCTTTTACAATACTCAGATTGTCATCACCAAAAACGTCGACCAGCAGCGTGGGATCGTCAACGCAAGTTGTGGTCTCGTCAGGCGCTGGGAAGACACCGCGGCTTCGTTGGAGGCAGAGATCAACGAGCAGGACGTAGACCATAAACGCCCGGCGTGGGTGGGGGTTGAGCTTACGACCGGCAAGGGGAGGGGGAGCACTGTCAAAATACAGCCCTTCGAGGACAAAAGCGTATGGGTGCCCTACTGCAGGGGGGTAGCGGTCAGCGGCGCATACATCGTTAAACAGTGGCCTTTCATGGTCGCTGCTTGCATGACCGTACACAGAGTGCAAGGGGTAGGTTTTGAAAGGGTTGCCGTGTGGATTCCTTGTAGAGGGTTCTTCGCCCAGGGTCAGGGGTATACCGCCGTGTCCAGGGGGAAAACTCTAGACGGCCTGTTCCTCGTGTTACCAGACGATGTCTTGCAGGACAGAGAGTTAGCAAGAGAGTTCCTCAAGGAGGCGTTCCAACCGCCCATCGATGCCATCAACGCTCTAGCCAACATGCGACAAAAGGCACCGGCCACGGTTACGGTTAACGTGAGGGGTAGGGGAGTTGCGTACGCTACACTGTGGGACGAAAGACGGACATACAACGCCCCAGACGGGTGGGCGGGTGTGTGGCCTGGAGTTGTGCACAACGGTTTAGGTGGGGCAACGCGTGTCGAGGGGGAGTATGCACTTGCTGAGCGGTCGAACAATTAATCATCTTAAGCAATATAGCCAAGCGGCTACGAACGAAGAGAAGAGAGGCATACCGGTGTGTGACGAAGCAAATAAGGAACTCCTCGAGAGGGGGAACATGACGGCGCTGCGCATGAACTGCCTTTGAGTACATGCGAGCAACACGGGACTGTGACCGCACACTTCACCGTGCCCGAACCCCCGTTAAGTGTCTTCGAGCGAAGCGAGTCACACGGCACTGTGACCGCACACTGCACCGCGCCCGAAACCCCGTTAAGTGTCTGCGAGCGAAGCGAGTCACACGGCGCTGTGACCGCACACTGCACCGCGCCCGAAACCCCGTGAAGTGTCTGCGAGCGAAGCGAGTTACGATCCCACTATGTCTTACTCCAAAACCATTACACCAACAACACACCAAACAATGCCATGAATTTTTGCCATTCGTGGAGCGCATATATTGCAAGGATTGCCGGCTTGAGCGGGATGGAGAGGATTACAATTACTTGCGTGCCGTTTTCGACAAGACAAGGGAGGCGTTGTTTGTCTGTGATGTGAATCGTGTGTCATGACCGTTTTTGTTCTTTTATCATGGTTAGATGTTGTGCACTGGTCCAGCAAAAACAAGACGTGCCTGTAGTCAGTCGTGGATCAAAGCGGGTACGGAACGCGCCACCACTTAACCTATTCTTTTGGCCGAGGCTTGTTTCTAGATTTGTCTAGCGGGTACCCCCATAGCGACAATAAAGGATTTAGTGTAGGCATCTTGCTTGAGTACCTGTCTGTTTTTATGGCCAAGTTCTTCGATTTTTTATTTTTTTAGGCTCAAGCTCTGAAGTGGTGGCGCGCTCTTCTGTATTTCGCACGGTTCAGCCACGAGACGATAAACATGAAAGCAATAAACAAAGTCCCGCGATCGCGATGGCAAATGAAAAACAAATAATATACCAGACTCAGTACAGACACCACATGCAAATCGCGGCCGCAGATTGCTTGCAGGGTGCGATTCGGGCCACCCTGGCAGGGTGGACCCTGTCCAGGGTGTTCAGCATAGGGTTCACCATTCTGCCGTTCACAGGGCGGGGTACCCTGGCCCGCTTGGACCTGGTCTCTGTGGGCTTAGACCATGCACAGCAAGAAATTCGGCGAAATAAGAGCAAGGAATAAAATACGGGAAATAGAAGGGAAGCGCCAAGATTCACAACTCACCCCATCATGTCATCGCTCTTCGCCCCCGCCCGGAACAACAATAGCCGTGCACCAAAAACAACACACACAGCCGGCAACCATCTCATTTTATGTAGCATTGGTTCGATTGTTCATCAGTATTTCTCGTAGTTCGGCGACTTTGCTTGGTTGAAATGAACATAACTTTTAGTCTTATTTGTGTTTTCTGTGGAGCACGAGTGATATTGTTTGCTGTACAACAAGAGGCCTGTTCTTAGCCTGAACTGTGCACGCATAGTTGTTTCACGCCCAGACGAAGAACTGGAAGATCCAACGTGTTCGTACCAGGTACATGTTTTTTCATCAAGCAAAACATTTCATAGTGATCACACATCGGACATACATATTAAAATGAAAAGTTATCCATCAAGTTCCCCCCGCGGAGTTTGACTGTCCGCAACTATCTCAGAGTTTCAAGGGTCGGTCGAGGACAGGCATGTAGCAAAGGCTGCACATGAGACAGCAGGTTGTCACGCTCATGCAACGTTGCCGAACAGCACGAGGGAGAGTATTCTCACCAAGATAAGCGGTAAATGCAGAACGACCGTCAAGTCGGCAAAATCCAAGATCGAAGTACGAAGAACGTGTAGCAAATTCTTCATAACACGAAAAATAATTCGTCCGTTACTCAGATCGCTTCCACCGACGATATGAAATCGGGCAGTGGAGATGGAGATGAGAATATATTCTGTTTTTGCCACCACACCACAACTACCCGCACTACCATCGCACCTCCCTTCCTCATTCCCTCGACTCGGCAACACCAGCAAGATAACACAGATCCCGAATCCTACGTTTGCAGGTATGGTCTCAACACGCTCCTCCTGTAGAGAGCATGCTGCGTAGCCTACAGCCGTAATAGCCCTCCCTACCGTACCGGATCAATCTCCCACACTACCGACAGTTTTGTCAAGTGCCCCATGGGTGCCCCATGGGCCCCATGGGGCACCGATGGGGCATTCATGAGCCTTTTGTTGCCCATGGGCCGTTTGGGAAAACTGTAGAAAGTGTGGGAGACCCTACTGGATGCGTTCCTTCGTGCGTCGGACGTTTTTTCTTTCCGGCAGAAGTTGTCGATGAGAATCGATGGAGGAGAGGTTGACGACAATAATTGCGCTGCTTTGCTGTGTGTTTTCTAGCGAGCACGGCGCTTGAAGCAACACCTAATTTCTCGTCCATTCATGCCTCAAGGAGGCGATTGGAGAAGAACCACAACTTATTTTTTGGAGTCGGCCTCCCAATGGCAGGAAGTCCAGGGATTTGGGGATCGACTTAGGAAGAAGAATCGACCTCAGATTATTACTCGAACAAACGAGGACATGATTCGTTGCGATACGGCTTCCGGACGGGTTTGTAGAAGCCCTCTCTGGCTAAGCTACGCAGCGTGTTGATTACGCGTCGAGTGTTGGACGTTTTTTGGACGTGGATTGGGGTAGTGGCTAAGCCCTGACCAACCAGACACGCCCGAGTTGTCGCCTGAGAGCCCCCTTGATCAACCCTCCAATCTCAGGCATGCCCGATCTGCTTTCTGAGAGAGAGGGCTTTTCTTCAGCAGATGTTTGCCTGAGACATTGTTTTTGCGGAGACAACACGTGACAGGGCTCAAGAACCCACGTCTTCACTCCGCACACCGCCGCGGCGCAAATCTAACGCCTCAAAAGGTTGCCCAATCTTGTCCCAAATTCCGGCGGGTCCTTGAACCGAAATCTACTCGTTTTCCCATGTGCCTAACGATTCTCTGTCGTACTTTGTGGCCTTCTATAGTCCGAAATATGCTTTACTCTTGTTCGATTATATTTTACGGAAATCGACCTCCCGGTCACGGAGTCTTCCACACTGTCTATGGTTTTGCCGAACCGCCCATGGTGCGCTTGTTGTTGAGATGGGCACGTCCCTGGGCATGCCCGTGGGTAGCCCATGGGCAGCCCATGGGCGGTGAGTGTGCCCTTCGACCGGAACATGTATACTCACAAACAACATAGATTTTGTGCTTGGGAACGGTCATCGTAACGGCTACGGACCCTAACCCTGACCCTAATCCCATGCCCACACGACACGTGCTGGTGGCGCTGGGTGGCTAAGTTTGTAGGTTGATGCGCCGATGGCTAAGTTCGTTGATATGACGGCGAGTTCTAGGTTGAAGTGCCCACGGTAGGCACTTCGTGGCCCGTCCATGGGCCGCCCATCGGCAACCCATGAACGGCCCATGGGTGACCCATGGGTGCCCGATGGGCGGTGTATCAAGACTGTCAGTAGTGCGGGAGCTTGCCGGTCACCGCACGGGGGAATGTTAGCTCTCACTACGCTTATTCTGACAAGAAACCTGAGGAGATAGACGATTGAAACATCCTTTTTCTCATTTCTTTGCGGAAGATTGCGAAGGGCACGCATGAAGGTTCACTCCCCGTATTTTTTATCCGTATCCCACCGCCTGCCCTTTGTCCCTTGAATCCCGTCGTTCGGTCGGGATTCATCACATAGACGCGCTTTTTCCTCCCTGGCGAAAAACACTCTAGCACCCACGTGTTTGATTGCCGTCTCTAAACCTGACAGCATCGCCGGATAATATAGAAAAAGGAAACCTCACACTCTGGCTGCCTCGGGTATCACACATCGTATGCTTGCTCTTTCCTCGGAAATGCCAACGTGGTCGTCATCGTTCTGACGTCGCTAGCTAGCAGTCCAATTGTTGGCAGCCTGGAATCCATCGAGCACGTTCGCCGCTTGTTGTTTGTCGTGTACAGTAGTTGACACATCGTTCGCAACAAACACGCGGACGGCGGGCCGTTGAAATTTCCCAAACATGGTGGCGGTCGTCTTGCTGTGCTGAAACGCTGACTGGTTGTGCGAGGGTGTCGGATTGTCCCGAGAGATTTTACGAGGAGTCGGCACCCGCCGTCCTCCGTCACTAAAGCTCGCGACATTTCTAAAACGACCACTGAATCAAACAGTCCTTGCCCTCTGGCCATTTCCGGGCGCGCGGAAATTCTTGGGGTTGCTGCAATTGTGCATGTTGTGGTCCGGGGTGCGATCGTTTCATTCATTCCTCCCTTGGCTTGATGCCGCACGCCCGGGTGCACAACACCGATGGGCGTCAAAACACCGATACCGGTGCGTAAAACAAGTTTCGATCAAGGTTTTCCACCTCCCCCCGGTGTGATGACACCGATGGGTGCGATACTGAACAAGAGACAATTACAGGCGCTGTCTGGTACAAGTAGAGCAGCTTTGTGGTACAGGATCCGTACCAAGCACCCACTCACACAACCTCGGTAAAGCGAAACACTCGCCGGTATCGGCGAATTAGACTATGGCGAATTTCATTTACTTTTGAAAACTTGGCTTGCCTTCCTCAAGGCGCACGGTACCGGTAGTGCTCCATTTTTTTCGGTCGGTTGAAGGTGCGGGATGTTTGTTGCTTGCGTGTTTGGGTAGCGTAAAAAAAGCCTTGACTCGCCTCTACGCGTACACCTCGACGGTTCGATGAGCAAGAAAGTACTGTTGCCCCAATTGATACCTACCGGCACCTCACTACCGTCCTTTATTTACGGTTGAAACCGCGCCAGCGTACCGATACCTTGCGGGGTCATGCATATTAACGACGTAAGCAGGGTTTCCGTCGTTGGTTTCGATGTCGTCACCGATACCGGTGCTGAACTGCAACTAATATCACGTTCTTTTTCCTGGATTGTGCGGATCCCGGTGCCATAACCCCGATGGGTGCAAAATCACCTGTGGTTGCCGCAACACGTACTCACGTTTGTGTTTCGCACGCAAGAAGAGATGATCTCGTACTCTGTCGTTCTGATCCTACGGCCTCCTAGAATACAACGGCACAGCAGCGGCGGCGGTGGCACAACCATGGGCCGATCTAGTCTGTTCGCCGCCGGTGCACTCTCCCTGTTCCTGGGTAGCGTGACCGGCCAGGACTCGTGCGTCCAGGTGGCGTCCCCGACATGGGCGGCCACCTGCCCCTGCGACTCGGACGGCCAGTACTCCTTCACGATGGAGGGGAAGACCACGGTGACGGCGAACACGGTGAGACCGCTTCTCACCAACCATCCCATCCCTGCCCCCGACTTTTGTGCAACTTTTCCTGTTCGGGGGGCTACAAGTAACTACCACAGCAGCCCCCAGAGTGTGTTCACGGAGTGGTAGTGACGTGTGAAGCTTGGACAGCCCCGACACTGGCGTAGTATATTGTCGAGTGTCTCGAGCTGCTCCAGGCCACATATTTTAACAGCAGTGAGTTCCTCCTCGAAAATCTGAATCGTACCTGGGTGGTGAAACGTGTCGGAGAATATTCTGGCCTGACGTTCGTGGGTTGACGAAAGAATACTTGAGTTACAGCGCGTGCATTTATGGCGTTGGTTTTCTGCACGCGAACAACCGATTGAGTACTACGGTCTGCTTCGCTGAATAGATGTGTAGTCAGCAGTGCGTGTGGCATCGCCTGACATCGATCACCACGGCGTTGACCTTTTCCAAGTCACCACCACCGCGATGTTGCCGACACACAGGTTAATGTGGCCGTCATCATCGATTCCTCAGGGAGCGTGAACAGCGACGAATGGGACATGTCGATAGCGTTCGCGAAGAACGCTGTTTCTTCCTTCGCCGACCAGAACCTCTTCACCAACGGCGGGAGCGCCTCCATAGCTCAGTTCTCCAATTCTGCGTCGGAGGGCGGCACCTTCTACTCTCTCGAGGACTTCAACGACTTCGTCGACGGAAGCACCAAGTACCAGTCGCAAGGAACCAACATCATCGCCGGCATCGCCAAGGGCAGGGAGCTCCTCAACGCCTCTCCCACCACCACTTCCTTCATGATCGTCATTACTGACGGACAATCCTCCAGTCCTAAGGTCTGCATACATTCGACAATCTTAACTGGCGTTTCGTTTCATAGGGCTCAACTTAACCGAGAACCTCTTCGTGGGCCCGCCGTGTTTGCTATCTGGCACTCTTGTCGCCTGAACCATCGACGTTCTCGTCCCGCGCAAGTGCCCTAGGGGCGGGTAACACATGCGCTATGTTTACTAGTTCGATTGCAACTGGGGGGGCTGAGGAAAGTCACAGATAAGGCAGGATTGGAGCAGGCTTACTCGATGCTTTGCGTTTGCGGGTCTGACTCGTCCCGATGCGGACTGGGCGAACCAACCGCTGCGTCAGGAATCGAAATCTACTACCCACAGTAGGCGAACACTTCAGATATTCCTTCATCTAACGACTTCAGTGAAGGCGCCCGTTTGAAGACCCCCTTGTGGGGTTTTGCTTCTCTTGCTCTCGGCGCGTGCACGCTTCTCTATATTTCTGACACCACCAGGACGAAGCGGACGCCGCCCGAGCTGAGGGCACCATCGTGTACGCCGTCGGCGTAGGTTCAGGCCCGACGGAATCAGTCCTTCTCGATATCGCAGGGGATGACTCCAACAAATTTAGCGTCGACGACTTCGACGAGTTGGACGGTAGGTGTCTCGGTCCGAAATGTGTGTTTTGTTTGGTCGCTCATGATGAGTAGAAAACCACCCCGTGTCCACTAGAGGGCCGAGGGCGGTGGGGACACAAGTATTGCGCAGAACTTGACGCAAACGGTGCACGTTTAACCGTTGTGCGAGAGCACAGACGGCCTTGGGAACGTTGAGGAACACGCCGCAACGACGACCAAAGGACCGGGACTTCCTTCCGCATTGCGCAACCTTCACCCCCCAAACTCTCAACCTACCGCGTGCTATCGCCCAACCTATGGCTCCCCCCCCCCTGATGATCGTGCCCCCCCCCTCGCCGTCGCCCGCGAACTTGAATCCTCGCCCACCTGTATCATCTCAGTCGCTCTCGCAGGAATCTTGTCTGCGTCCGGAAGCAGCGTGCCCTGCGCCGCCACGGGTGCGACGGTGACTGTCGAATTCAACGGCATGGTGACGGGGGCCACCGTGGACGGCGGCAGCGCCACCTACAACGGCGGCGAGGTAGTCTTCACCGTCGGCGACCTCGAGGCCACCCCGACCGACTTCGAGGTCTCGTTGGACTGGTGCGGAGAGCCCGAGGGCGGCGAGATCATTGCGTCCGTGTCCTACACCGACGACGAGGGAAACACGCCCGACCTGTCCTCCCTCGAGGGGTCGGCCGTCGTGCCCACCTGCGGTAAGCACGCGCGTGACAGAGTGATTGATGACCATGTGGGCGTGCATGTGGCAAGCAAGGGGTGCGGTGATGATGACGTGCACGTGTCGACAATATTTAGGATGGAAAGAACAACAGACGGTAGGTTCGTCTGCGCACACGGGACACATGTTGACACCGCCTGGTTCTCTTGATCTTCTTGCCGACGGTGAAGGGAAAGACTGTTGTTCGAATGTATTGTAGCCGTAACGCGGTGTTATACGGTAATCTTTCGGTATTGTTTCCAAACATGCTGAATTTGTTTACGTGGAACGCATAGCCGCCCCCATCTTGTGACACTTTCCGGAACAATTGTGAACTTGTTTTGGCTGAACTTGGCGCGAGTGCAACCTGCGTACGATTTGCGCGACAAGGTCGCGCAACGAACTTGTTGCCGCGAAGAATTTGCTTATTGCACTTGGTTATTGCAGCCAGGACAACGCACGCAGCTGTTGAAAAACTTGTGAGCACCGTTTTCTCAACCAGCTTGTCCCCGTACGTTCGTGCCTTACGAATGTGCCATCTCTCCTTGGCATACTTTTCCGTCCTCGTTCTCTGTCTCCATTGACGTACACCCTGCACGACCACCACCGCCGCACCTGCGAAACGGAACCAGCCGAACCACAGGCCTTGTTGCACCTTGTGGCCGACGTACTACTGTACATCCAAGTCATATACCTCGCGGAATTTCTCCGTGTCAAGTACGGCAGTCGTGTGGGAGTCAAACCTCTTCTCAGTTTCGGGGAATAATCTTTTCGTAGGACTCTGTGGCATGACTACTGTAGGGAAAGTGATTGCACGGATCTCCTGGGGGCCGATGGACTATCCTTGCAGGTGTCGCGGTCAGTTTTTGCACCCTCTTCAAGATCTTGGTGGTAGAGCACTTGAGCTCCAGAAGTCGGTCAAAAATCTAGGGGGTATGTCGTGGCTCGTGTACACAGTTACGGCACATGGTGGCAATCTGCATGCTGACCTTTTGACAATATAAGCTGAAAAGAAACGCCATCGACATCGTCGTGGCCCCTGCACTCGCACGTAGGAGTCATCTGCCCTAAAGGTAGCCACATCTGCGACGACCCCCACATGAAGGGCCTGCTCGGCCAGAGTATCGACTGGTTCGGCGTCGACGGTGAGTGGTACTCCTTCGTCAAGGACCCTGACATGGATCTGCGCGTGAACGTACGGCTCACGGCGCCTCTCCCCGACGACTTTCCTGATCGCCAGCTGGTCACCGGCCTCTCGGTCATTTCTGAGGGACATTCTCTGGTTCTCGAGGTGCGACCGACGATGCAACGCAGTAGGCGGAGCTGTAAAGTGGTGGGGCGACGCCTCAGCATTGTTTCGAAAGTACGATTATCTGAAACTTCAGTCTTCGATTTCGGCCCGACTATCACGCACAAGGGCGCCGTCTTCTTGCTAAGGACAGGGCTCTTCCAGCAACAGTAGTCGAACATCAACTCGGACGTCATTCGTCATCTTCCCCCACCCATGGGAATGAAACTAAATCCGCTGGTATCTGTCCCGTTTCCAGCCTCTCGTTCATTGCCCGCGTCGTGCGCTCAGGTTGGTGCATGGTAGGAATGAAAACCTTGCCCACGCCTACATGGAATGGACCCACTAACTGATCGATCACTGTCCCCACTCGCGGGAATCGTGTCCTCTGGTCGTGCCAACCCGTCTCAAATACTTTGCATGTATCGACCGCATCGAGTCCACTATTGAACGAGGCGTCATTGTTGTGTTTAAGCTCGAGATCCGGGGCTCAGCACGGGAATCGAGTCACTGGTGGTTAGCGATGGAACTATGTCGTGATATCCTAAAGGACACACAAAGAATGGGGAATTGCCGGGCGTGATTTGTGGTTGTGTAGACGGATATCCAGCGCCATCCAGGTGGCCCTTCGAGGACCGTAATGATCTCGGAGAACCTACCTGTTCACACCCACGGTCACACACGACAAACGATCAATTCAGGTGACGAACCCCTACTCGACGGACTTAAACGACGGCTGCCCCGACGGAAGCCCGACGCCATGCCTGGCAAACGGCGGACTTAGCGTCACCGTGGATGGCGAGAAGAACGTCGGGCTAATACACCCCATCAGGTAGTCAGCCTTACCGGGAGGGGTGCATGGTAGTTGCAGTAAGTGTCCTATGCATATGCTCCGTGAACCAGCTTCTTGGCCAGACAGCACCATGGCTCCTAGCAGAGTCCGGTAGAAATTGGCATTGGATTACTCTACTGTACACCCGTTGTATCAGTCAGACTTCTCCCATCGCAGCGTGACGACTCAGAAGTCACCAGTCACCATCATCGCCCGCACCCGCGTGCACATGATATACTCTGCTTGACCCAGGGGCGAGATCCTACCTGGTGGCATCGAAGTGTCCGCGGACAACCTCCCGGTACAATGCTGGCAGTTCGGTGGGCACAAGATCTGGGCCCGCCACTACGAAGCCATTCTGGCGAGGCGCAAACTACGTGCCCAGTCCTTCGAAGATTGGGTTTTGAGCTTTACGGACATGGCAGCCCACGATTGGTGAGTTGCTCCACACTTGGCAGCAGCGTGCAAAGCATCGCAGAGGAAGGGTGCCGTTATTGAACAGATGAAAAGACAGAGATTTTCTGTGCTCGTAGCACGATACTGTACGTGCGCGTGGAGTGTTTGCCCATGGTTCAACCTCCATCGTCGAGAGAGAAATCGTCGAAGGAGTTCAATTTGCGCACACTTACTAGTCTACAGTTGAACGCGCGGTCCTGATGTGTAGGCTATCGATAGCAGTCCAATCGTGTGCGAACCGGGGAGATTAGGGCGCCCCCAAAAGCTGTCGCTTCCACTGCAGGCTTGGGGCGCGAAGGTCACCTTCATCTGTTCCGTGAATCGACCCCAATCCACTTACTTACTGCACTGTCACCGACAAGACCACGTTCTGGTACAACACCCATTCCATAGTAAACGGACTGCAGCTACATAGTCATGACATTGCTTTGTTGTCACCTTACACGTGAGTGAGGCAGCATGGTGATCTCAATCTTGCGTGTGTAGCTGGCAAGCGTAGGGCTTCGAAGTATAACCTGTTCACGCTGATCGTTTCACTCGATATGCATGAACCGCCTTTCATTCCACATGTCATGTCCTATGCCACCGATCGACCACACCAGGTGCACCGAGTACATAAGCGAGAAGGGCCTTACGGGCGTCCAGTCGTCTCACGCCATATACCAGATCGTCACGCCGGCGGTCGTCGTGCGCCTCAACGTCGGCATCGGTCACCAGGACGGGGATGAGGTTGACTGGGACGGTCGCGTGCTCCCCGACCTCGACGTGTGGCAGATGGACGTCGGCCTCACAGGTCTGTCCCTCGAGAACGAAGCGCTGACCGGAATCCTGGGAGAGACGGCCCGCCCTGTTTACGACGAGGATGGACACGCTGTGATGGCGGGGGACGACGCCTACCGCGGGACTCCCGAGGACTACCGTGTGTCCGGTCCCCTGGGGATGGACTTCGCTCTTCTACACCAGAAGTGATGCGGCGAGGCGACGCCACCGCTATAGCAGTAGCATTCGTCGCTAATGCCAGAGTCTTGGCTTAAAGTAGTTCCGGCGTACACATTTCCAAAGGCGTGATGGTCCCCTTTTGCGCCCACGTCAACTCGGTGCAATACGTTGCGGTGTTTGTGCGGTTGGTCGCCGTTCTTAGACTCCGGTCCATGGAAGGGTGTTGGTCATCTCTGCTTCGCGTACAGCAGATAGGGCCATCGAAGAGCTGCATGATGAGCCGGCATCGAGCTATCTATGTAGTTCCGTTCATTGGGTTCCTGGTGTTGGTATGTGAACATCCATGTCGGAAAACTCGTTCCCATGGCTGCAAATCCTCTAGCCAATGTCATGTTACTCCGAGGATCGTGCCGGAAATGTATCGACATTCATATACTTCATTTCACTTACATGTAGAATAGTTGGTATTTTCAGTTCTCTCTGAATCTTGCAGAAGAAGTGAACGTCCATTTCATTGCTTAAGTATCTCAGGCTCGCGTCTGGAAAATAACTACTTAGATAGTTGTACCGTATGCACATTGCAAAGTTTGATGCCATCGCTTAGACGCAAGTCAGTGCAAGGGTTGCCAGTACGTACTGGAATTGTTTTGCGTGCGGGGTACGCTTGAGAACATAGTGTACAGCAGCGCTGAAGTACTATATTTGCCTGGAAACGTTGTTAGAGTAGTGCCACAATCTGAACACGGTTGTTATTGGGTCATGTTTTTGGGTCGGTATGAGTCCACAATTTCGAGGTTCAGCGGCCGCCTGCTCCATCCTCTCTTAGCGTTAGAGTGCCCGTTCCAAAGCAGATAATCTATTGTTTTAGAGTACACTGGTTCGGTTCAAGGGCTCTCATTGACCGCCCATGGGATTCCCATGGGCTTCCCATGGGCGGCCCATATGGGCTGGCCATGGGTATGCCCCATGCGCGTGGGCATGGGCATGCCCATGAGAGTCCCATGGGTCGTTTGGGAAAACTGTAGGAAGTGTGGCAGACCCGAAATCCACAGCAAAGTACAGCTGGGCCCACTTGCACTTGACGTAGGTGAGTCTGCACATCATAGTACTAGGAGTACGTACATCATTTCTTCCTTACCGCGCACCCCATGCTCTCCACCTATTACCTGGTCAGAGCTGAATCAGCGTCACCGTCTCTACGGACTATTCCATGTTCGGGTGGTACCAACCTTGCCGCGTCCAGAGGTTCACATTTTCTCTTCATGCCTTCAGCATCCACACAATAGTCTTATTATACGATGTAAGTGACAGTAGAAATAAGTCCTACATGTGTTGTTGTACTTCGTATTGGTTTAATATTCATGTAGAGTATGAGACATTAAGTGAATTTTTTCTGAGATACATCTGCAATTGTCGGAAGGGAAAAAAAAAAAAAAACTGTTGACTATCGGTCTATGCCTTCCTACTCACGGTCAATCATTCATTCCACCCTCTTACCACCTCATTTTCCTCGTATCCTCAACTCTCTTCCGCTTGTGCCCCTACCCCGCCCCCAATGGGCGGGGTGGGCCCAATGGGCGGGGTGGGCTTTCATTCCGGAGTGCTGTAGTTGGTGATTCAACCGAGACCAGAACAACAAACAAAAGTAGTCACTGAGTTCGGATAATTGAAACGGCATTGTACACGCTGCACCCTAGCTCTAACCCCGAGCCCACACGATACGTGCTGGGTTGGCGCTGGTTGCAAAGTTCTAGGTTGATATGCCGCAGGCGAAGTTCTAGGTTGAAGTGCCCCCGGTGGGCACTTCATGGGCCGCCCATGGGCCGCCCGCGGGTATGCCCATGGATCACCCATCGGCAGCCCATGATGAGCCCATCCATGAATAGCCATGGGCCGGTGACCCATGGGAGTCCCCATGTGTCATGTGGGAAAACTTGTAGTGAGGGAGATTTGGGGAGTTCAGATATCGGACCCGTAAGCGATGGGGGAAGCCCCCCACCCCCGGTACGTTACGAAGTACGATCTGGAATTGTCAACTTCCATCCAAACCGCAGGCTCCCGTTGAAGAGATGTGGTCTCAACAGCCACGGACACAAGAAAATGAATCGTTTCTTGGAATTCTTCGGAGAAAATGAATGGAAAATGAGCACGGGGCGAGAAGGAATTCGCGTACCTACAACGTTTGTTTTTTGTCGTTGTTGTGACAGCTTTGTTGCAGGTGTAGTCGATGCAATCGCGCTCCCGCCTCTTCCGGCCGCGTCCGTCCGTGGTTGGTCGGTGGCGAACAGCCAACATGGTATCACACATGATAATGTAAAACCGTTGAGTCCTTCGCGCGCGCGGGTGACTGGGTAAACAGACGGATGTCAACACAACAAGACGAACGACGAACAACACGTGCACCAAAAAGAACCCCACTAGCAATCAATCTTTTTGCTGTTGGAGCAACAACACAAACGTCAACACCTGTCGCCATTCGGCTACCCCTGTATGGACCTTCCGGACAAATGATCCTGCACGGACGCTGTGACACCCTGGGAATGTGATTAGTCCCCACAAGGTCCACGGTCAGGATCCCTGTCAGGATGTCGACGCTGCCAGGATTGTATAGACTATTAGACAGATCTGTGGGCCGTGGAAGGTAGCCCGGAAGATCCCTCACATGGACACACCAAGATGCTCTGCTGCAGTAAACTCAAACCATTGCGCATTGTGATGTTGACATTTGTAGCCTTGGTGACGACATGTCACGTCCTCTTACTACGGGCAGCTCCACCGAGGCGAGTGCTAGCATTTGTTCATGGCAGAGTGCTAGCATTTGTTCATGGCAGAGTGACTGCATGCGGTTCGGCAAGTGCCGTGGATGGCAGATGGTGATGACCATGACGCAAAGTTTCTCATCAACGGGAGTTTTCTACTGTAATTATGACTCAACTAAATATTATTAGACTATTATTTTGTTTGCCTTCCGACAATTGCGGATGTACCTCAGAAAACTTTCACTTGATGTCTCATACTCTAGATGAATATTTCACCAATAAAGTGGTAGTTTTCCTGGACCCGCCCACAGGCCACTTGATAAATTTCTCTCTAGGGTCTGGTTATTTACCCAACAAAATATACACCATTCGAAAGCTATGAACCCGGGCTTTCGAATGAACCCGCTTAGAGCTTTCACAGACACCTTGGTGACGAGTTATTATGCCGAATATACCGTTTCGCCAAAAACGCGGCGGAACCGGTAAGTTACGATTTGTCGTGCCCCCACCACCGCTGTGAAAAAATATTATTTTTTTTGGAGTCCTTGAAACAAACTGGTTCTAAATCACCTGGTTCAGAACTCTTTTTTGCCAGGCCCTAGACAGAAATAAACCAAGTTTCAAATTAAAAAAAAATCGCGGCCGAACCACCGCTTGGGCAGCGTCGCACACAGCCGCCGGTAGGTGTACACATGTTGTTGTGAAGACCGGCAACCAAATGGAACTCGACCAAGAGAGGGTGTCCTGCCTGCAGCAGTTGGTTCCCGACACATACACGCTGCGCGACAAGCTCAGCATCGAGAGACAGAAGCCACGAAAGTATCGGTTAGTGCTGCACTCAAGGTCGCGAGCCAACAATACTGAGTTGAAATGGCGGAGCCGCTGGATAACGTCTGGGAAGCCACGCGGCCGCGACGCCGTCGCGGAGGGAATCATCATAGACGAGGTGACTGCTGCTGACTGGGATGCCGTTCAACTCAAGAACTCAGCGTACGCCCCGGTGCAGAGAGCACCACCGCGGGATTCAACAACACCCGCAGTTCGAGCCGCAGCGCCAGCCGTTGGTTCATTACAAGAACCCGGTCTCGCAGGCGCGCAAAGATCGCGAGATCCAAATTGGGGTGGACAACGGGACTACAGTGGGCGGCCCTTTGGAAAGTTGGGGAGGGCGGCCCGGCGGATGCGTGTGTTGACACTTCGGCAGGAACTAGAGGAGGCCGTTCCTGGGGCATTCAACCTCTCTGCAAGCAGTCTGGAAGAAGTCGTGCGGGCGTGGATAGAGTTCGA